AAACCAGCACACAAAAATACACAGCCGAGTTAGCCAAAGAGATTAACGCAAAAAAGTGACGTCACATTTGAATTTCTGAAATTTCCCCAAAATAGGATAGAATTAGGATAGTATTCAAGATTTGGTTTATAATACTCATATAACATTTATTAATAACAAAGAAAATTACAATACTTATAAATATAAAATGTGGTAGTAATTACTATATATAATTAATAGTATTATCTAGCTATGTCGGTGTTTCTTCTAAATCAAACTGTAAACCAAATATATCGTATAAATTTAGTTGAGCCAAACTAAAATCTAATTAATGAACTGGGTGATTAATTATCTTTACCATAACACACGAATACAGCAGAAAAAAAAATAAGATTTACAACTACAAACGATTAGACATTTGACAAAATCCGATGAGAATAACAAATATAACATCAAAACTAAATACATGAATTTTGGATAGAAAAGTACCGTGACCCGTCTTATAGCAATGCGAATTCACACTCAGCAAAACAGTCACAATCGGGAATAAGTCACGTTCGGTAATTAAAAGATCAGACGACGTAACGTCAAACCACAATCTAACACGTGGTAAAAATGTCCTTAGTTAGTTTGGACAAAGACACATCGTATGGATCGACCAATTTGTGATGGTGTCCGTAAAATTTACGGAGTGTCATTTTTAATCTGTCCTTCTCATAACTTTGTTGGAGCAGTTTCTGAGTTATGAGCACACTCGTGTATATGAAGTCCGTATAGTGTGAACATGCACGAGCATAACGTATCAAATACTAAAGGACAGAAGGACGGATTTATTGTGTTCCATAATTTTGTACATTTTGAAAGCGCTTCTGAATGTATGACCGGACAGCTTTCAACCATACAGATAAAGTGTTCTTCAGTTTTGGTACATCTTTCTCACACTTTACCTATTTTATGGCATAGTCCTCAACTGCACCAATCAGAAATCTGAAATTCTTTTGCAAGCTGATGGGCTGGTGAAATCGTTTTTTGTGCCTTTTGGCAAAAAACTCCTTGGTCATGACATGACCAGAGAGAATATATTTGAACTAGGACGATTCATAGGAACAATCGAGAGGTTTAATTTAAAATCTCTGAGGGAACAGGTGTTTAATACCCTCTTGTGGTTGAAAAGTTAAGATGCAATAGGTTTGGTGGAGGTAAATGAATGACAGGTGTAGTTTTGTCTTTGAATTGATAAGGGATTATTGTTTCAAAATAATATGTATTTAAACTGTAGGTATTCCAAATTTGAATATTCACCGCAATAGGGTAGGTGCAACAAGGGCCCCTTTCGGCATACAAAAATGAAGTACTACAAAACTAGGTGATTTTAGCTTAAAATCATCTTTAAGCGTGATCAAAATTTAAAGTGTAATATCTTTGAAACATTATGAATGTTTACAGAGATTGTTTAAAGTCAGTAAAATTTCAATTTTTTAACACAAAGAAAATAATTTGCATATTTTCACACATGTTTGTTATTGGGAAATATTGAGTGAATGTAACTACCACAAAATCTTAACAAGAAAGTTGTTGTTCATATATACAAACATTGTGGTAAATTATTCAGTTGGTACATGCATGCGCTATATTTTTGCGAGTCCAAAATATATGACAAAAAATTACAAAAATCTTTGTATTTCACGAACACACGTAGAAGGGAGTTTTTCGTGAAGTAAAACTGCATTTATTGTTACGTTATGGGAAGAAAACTTTTGGTTTTAATGTTGCCACACCTCAAATAATATTAAACGTTAAAATTTCAGTAAAGAAATAGGCCAAAATAAGGCCCTTATCGTAATCAGTGGTCGAACGATAGCATAAATAAGATTTTTCTCAAACAAGATCACAAAATGCAAAATCCATAATGGGACTGCAATATTGAGCACATGCAAATAACAAATTGATATTAAAGTAAAAGTTGTTGTTCATATGGAAAAACATCGTAGTAAATAAACTCATCATAGATACCAGGATTGAAATTTTGTACGCCATACCCGAGTTTCGTCTAAAAAAGACTCATCAGTTACGCTCAAATAAAAAAAGTATTAAAAAGGCCAAACAAAGCACAAACAAGGTACAAAGTTGAAGAGCATTGAGGACCCAAAATTCCTAAAAGTTTTGCCAAATACAGCTAAGGTAATCTATTCCTGGGTAAAAGTTCCTTAGTATTTCGAAAAATTAAAAGATTTGTAAACAGTTAATTTATAATTATGACCATATCAATAAATCATTTAGTTGGTACTTGAATGTGCTGTAATTTGTGTGTCTAAAAGCAAGCTAAAAATTGACCAATTGTTCCACTGATCGAATCTGTTTTTGTTTATTATTTTTATTTTGTATTACCTTATCTTAAAAGAAAAGAAAAGCTTGAATTAAAATTTCAGTGAAAACTTAGAATTAGAATAAAAATATCAAAATGTGGTACGAGTGCCAATGAGATCAAATGAAGTTGATGTATGCAACTATAGGTACTATAATGCCTTCAACCTTGTGCAAAACCCATACTATTTAAAACTAAAAAAAAACAACCTTATCACAACCTGTCCTTAAGAAATCGAGGTATTTATTCACTTCTTACAAAAAGTATCATGTGACATTTGAATTGTTGGCTAAAAATCAGTGTTCTTAATCGTTGCAATTTATCCAGTTAAATAGCTGCCACATATGTTTTATATATCATTGCCCTGCAGTATATGATAGCTGATTACAGAATTAAAAGTTTTACATTCATCCCTTATTACAAGCAATCTAAAATAATTGACAAATGTATAACTTATGTTATACGCATGATTCCTGTACACATTCAGGTTGACTAGGTTTTTGGTCGTTGACCATTTATTCATTAAATAGTTCTCATTTACTTTTTATAAGACAAGTTCTATCGCACGATTGCATTACCTTAATTGATGGGTTTAGAAGAATGACGTTTTCCTGAACCAGGTAAATCAAAGTTTAAACCAGTGAAGCTGGCTTCTAATTTATATACAAGAATAACAAATTCAATAACTTCACACCAGGACACCAGTGAATTAGTAATACGATTTGAACGAAATCAATAATTTCGAACTAATTCTGTTCGGGTGAAGTCAGGTTTTCTTTCTTTTCTATAATCCATCCTAACAGTAAAAAAACTTAATTTGCATTCGAAAGACAAAATAGGACTGAATATTTATGCTGTTCGCGGAATACTGTATTATCCGTTTTACTTGTGAATTACTCACGAGATGTGTAAAGACAATAGTTTTTCATATGAAAATGATCAAGGGTTTTAGGCTTTAGAACTAAATCGGTAAAAGCACCATCTTATACGATTTCTCAGCAAAAATATATTGATATCCTCTAGAAGTAAATCTACATGTAATCCATACAGAAATGAAAGAATATTTCTACATCACAGACTTATTTCAGTTTATCTTTTAAAAATTTTAAAGAATGCATTCATTTTTACCTGCCATAATCTAAAATTGTTTGACTGGAAATGTTTGGGTTTTTTTTATTTAAAAAAGTACAAACATCTTAAGATTTTATTAATAAGCACACCAAGTCAAATTATGTGTCCGATTTTTATTACGTGACATTCAACGTGATTCCATTGTCTGTACAATTTTTTCAAATGTTTTAAATTGAAATCAATCAGCTTATCAGAATAACCAAGTTTGGCCAAAAGTTTTTTTTGGATGTCCACCTTCAAAATTGTAGATGTTCCTTAACTAACTAATACGGTTGCAGGTAGAAAAAAGAACATAGACATATAAAATATAAAAACTTTCATAATCCTGTAAGTAGCCAAATGTTACCAATCACTGTTAAAAAAAGTATGACCACTTGCCTTCTACAAGCACCAAATTTAGCTGCGAATGTCACTATATATAACAAATGAGAGAAAAATAGTCAATGCAATTTTTAAATACCCTTATAGAGGGTCCATCTATTCTATAATAAAATAAATTTGAGAAAATGATACATATTTGTCATTCTGTTTAGAATAATGGTTGATGACCTTAATGAGAGCAAACATAGATGACTTTTTCTCCAAAAAATATAATTTATTCAAAAAATTACTCATATTTATCCCTGAACAAGAATGATTGTAAATACTATAGGTATAATTTGAATGCACATGTATATCTAGTAATAATGCTTAATGTACCAAGAAGAAAAATAAAGGAGAAGAAAAGAAATAAAAAGAAAATAAATTGATGATGATGATGATGATGATGATGATGATGATGATTTGTTTCGACCGACTTGAATTAAATTAGAGACCGTCTAGATTATATCTTTAAAGTCTTTTCATTTTCTATAATAATACATGAAACCGTTCCAAAAACATCTATAACATGTCTTCTTTTTATGGAATCAAGTGTAAAAGAGGCAACAGAACTTTTGTCACATTTAAATTTCGTTAGTCCATTAAGAATACGGAAACCAAGATAACAAAAATCAACCGAGGGAATCCAATATTAACTCCAATCTGAGGAAGTCTGTTGTGTCGACAGGATAAGAGTAGTCCGCTACGCATGTATCACCCGCGAATGAATACTTAAATATATAACGATAGGGAAAATAACATTATCGATTAATTTACAGATCAGTCGACTATTTTGGTACCTTGAGACCTGGTGCCCCTAATAAGTGAATATACACAGGTGTAACATATCAATTTAGATCATTGACAATTGGGAAGCTGACAATCAGAAAAGAGTAATCATCACACGCTTGTCGTCCATTTGTTTAAATTTTAAGAACAAGACCATAATATGAAGCAAACCTTCTAGTTTTGGTAGCATCTTATTTGTGGATGCAGCACTGAAATGTGAATTATTAAAATACAGGGCATCATCAATATATCTAAACGTGAAATTTAAGAATTATATGCATGATACTTTTCGTTTTGTCTTTAAAAAGCTTTCGTGTGAATTCTGCATTATACGAATACAAAACAAGTTGGCCAGTACAATAAAAATCCATTTGAATACCGTCTGTTTGCTAAAATATCAACATGAAAAGTTTGTGCAGAAAAAGAAAAATCAAAAGTTTGATATTATTGCCAAATTGTAATGACTGTGATCGAAGATTTTAGAATTTTAGGAATCTACATCTAATTAACCGAACAGGTGGTATATGTCACCACACTTTTATTGAAGGTCAATTTTTACTGTAGAGCAAATTTTGAAAGATGTGGTGTTGTTGAATATCGAGACGAGCCTGCTTTGTATCGCTCTTTATTTACATTTTTCTTTTAAAGTTTAGATATCCAAAATAAAGGAGGGTTTCATCGTCCTTTTTATGTTAATGCCGAAGAAGAAGAGTCGGATTTGTGATTTTCTAATATCTTCTCATTCGTAAATGATGTAGGTATATAACTGTGATTCCAATATTTGCTGTTGTTCTCAGGTTCTATTGCTAGGCAATTCAAATACTAATCTTTCTCTGTTGAAACAGTGTAAGAAACTATGAAGTTTTGTATGCGCTTCTGAATGCAAGAATTAACAACGTTAGTTCTCTCAGATTTCGTGTCCAGTGCTTGTACTTAAATAGTCTTCAATTGAATTCTTCAGTAATCTGAATTAAGCTTCTTTGGATATATTTTTATCTTTAAGAATGAGTCTTTTTGAAACTCATTAGTTTTTGATTAAATTAAAACAAGTTCTGTGATTTCCTTAGGCGAGATTCTTTTTCCAATATAAACAATGTATTATTCAGTGTGCGTACTCTATATTCATTCCAATCCACTTCAGTTTGTAACTTTTCTTGTAGTTCCTCGTCCGAAGGATACGGACAAAACTATAAAAAAAAAAGTAAAAATACACAACACACCATTAAAACAACATATAAAAAATCATTCCTTCTACTCTTATATTGTATGCTACTTTATAAATTGGAGAGTAAATATTACAGTTTATAACTTGTTGATTCCATCACCAATGAAGAAAATCATCAAATATATCATACCGGATAAAACTATCAGAAAACAATCAATTTACGACTTGATACAATAAATTTGTTTTTAGTTTTTACTGAACAACAAGGCAAAAGATGCCTCGTGTATAGTAGGGTGCATTTAACCTCCCCGCGAATTTGATAAACTGGCATCGTAAGAAACTTTCCCTGTAACACTTTCACATCGGACTTTTTCCAGTCTCAATATCTCTCTATGCATTATATAGCGAAGAAACTAAGTCTTCAACATCAATAAGATGTTAACATTTGATAGCACCCTAATGGTTGATTTCTATGATTTTTACTAGTGTTGTTGTGTTACAGTGTTGTTATCGTTTATGCGTATACATGTCAAACTTTCGGTAACTATAAATATACTTCAAAATCATATCATGTTTTACGCAGACATAGAATCTACGGTTAAAACAATCCCCAACTTCACGTCGCTTAAAATGATAGCAGATACCTAGGGGTAATGAAAACCACAAGTCGAACAGACAACACAATAACCAACAATAAAACGAGGAAAAGACAAATAAAACAAACGTTATTGCACTTACATATTTTACGAGTTTGCTTCTAAATCGTTCCGTCATATTTTCCTTGAAGAAATATTTGTCTATAAAAATAACATCAGCTCCACCACTAAATACACTAAAACTTTGTCTCTGTTCTGTTCGTTTATCAACCATTATATCATCCAGACCCTGTTAATTCAATGGAAAATATAAATTTTGGGCCTCATAGTTCAAAAAGATATTACTTTTGTGTATTTAGAATAACGAGATGTGGTATCCACCAGAGTCCAAATGACGTTTTTAAAACGATCAAATATCTCTTTTTAGAGCCTTTCTTAAAATCAAGAAATATTTTACAATTAAGGGCTTCTAATCATATTTTTTTTTGTCCAATGAGTGCCACTGACGTAACGCGTTTCTGGAGTACAAAAATTATAACTTTGGTACTCTAGATGAATATGTTGTATCGCGTTTTATAAGAGAAAAATTTAATTTAATCCAATAAATTTGTTAAAGTTGCTCAATTATAAAATTTTCAATAAATGAAGACCGTGCTGTAATATCCGAAAAAAAACAGTGCTCATAACATTGTTGTGTCTTTGGTTTATTTACGACGATATAATTCCATCGTGTTGAACACTGCCAAATATTGAATGGAATAGAAACCTATGAGATCGCCCTCTTACGTACCTATTACTATAAGCTAGCGTCATATGGCTTAGTTGTGTAAACTCAATCTGGCTGTTCATGTAGGACTCAGTATTATAATATCTTCCGAGCATGGTAACTTAACATTGATTTAAAACTGTTGGTCTTTAATATGAATACCTATAATTTCTTGTAAGAGCACATTTTAACAGAAGTTAACCCTTAAACAATATTTTAAGTATTAAAGCATCAGTCATACGAAACTCAGTGACACAATAATCCAATGTTCCGCAATACGTTTTGCTGTTAGTAACCAAATAAGTCTCACTCTTAAGATTTTTTTCATTTGTTGACTTACAAAAATTTGGCCATTCGTGATTGTATGAACATGGACAATATCTGTATTTGCATCCTCTGTGCGTTTTCCATCAGCCTTAAATTAAAAGAGAAGAAAATATTAAAATATAACTCTACAAATTGGTTAATGAAAGAATATAATTGGCCAAGAGAGACAACTCTTGTTTAAATATTGGCATTAATTATTGACGTATTGCTTCAGTACAGACGTATATATGATCATATATTCACTTAATGCGAGAAAACTTGGCTTAAATTTCATATATTCTGACATCTATTTTAAAGAGAACTAAAGATGTGTATTTTAAAAAAGAACTACAATTGAATTTGTGTATTTGGAATAAGAACTACAGTTGTGTATTTGGAATCAGAACTATAATTCTTTGTTTTTTAAGGAGAACTACAGTTGTGTTTTCGGAATGAAAACTACATTTATGTATTATGAATTAGAACTACTGTTGTTTTTTAATGAAACTACAGTTGTGTATTTTGAATGAAAACTACAGTTGGTATTTTGAATGAGAACAACAGTTGTGTATATGGAATGATAACTACAGTTGTATATTTTAAATGGTAACTACTTCTGTATATCTCAAATGGGAACTACTGTTGTGAATTACAGTTGTTGTATTTTAAAAATAATCTGTTTACCTTACTACGACCTCTTTCCCAGAAGTGTTGATGACCTTTAACATCATTATCGTCATTTTCATGGATACTTTTTGACCCTAAAGAAGAAATGATAGTTGAGGATACTTGGTAATGTGGTCATATATATATAGATTCTACCACTGCATCGAGTGTGATACGATATTTATCCACTCGAGACAGTTAAATTTTCAAATTTAAAACGCGAGGCTCGCCGAGCTTTTTAAATATTTAAAATTTAACTGTCGAGAGTGGATAAATATCGTATTACACGAGATTTTGTGGAAGAATCTGTTTCTCTAATGATTTTCAAACAATATGCAGGCAAACTTATTCCTTCTTTTTGAATGACCTGCAAAAAGATGTGTTCTTTCTATGTGACGTCATCAGGCATGGTCGCCTTTTTTCATGCCGTCACAATAGGAAATTCAGAGGAAAGCAAGAAAATTCGACGTCATAATCGGATTTTAACCAATGAAGAACTGAGATCAAACGAACCACACGTTGATTAAATATTTTTTATACAATGGGTGCAGAAAGGGATAAATTGACGAAGAATTAGAGAAATATATATATATATATATATAAAACGTCTGAATAATAGTCAACGATTTTTCCCACGAGGGCGCTGGATCGTTACGAGTAACGATACACGTACACAATAAATAAATTATATAAACGCCTAAAAAGTGTACACAACAACACCAATAACAAAAAAAGGAACTATAAATGTAATTATTTATAAATATTTCGGATAACAGATATCCTTCATCAGTAAATATGATTGTGATGTTGAATGAATCATATATCAGTCTACTTAGATTAAACTATACCAATCTTGAAATTTATACAATAAAAATGTCAAACCGAACATCAGGTAAGACGCTTGCACAATTCTAAATATGTGTTAAACACGACATAGGTTATATGACTAATTACAACAGAGAGTTCAAATATATGCTTTAAATAAAAATAAAAATGTGCGATATGAACTAGCACAATTCTAAAGCTTTAACGGTGACGACAGTTATGATGTTACAAGAACGATTGCGTCAATAAGAATTCCAAATAAACAGCACTGAACGATCTAAATTTGTAAATATTTCAAATTTGACAACGGTAGAGTAGTTGCAACAGAGTCTGCGTATTTAAACATCGCAAACAAACGGCCGTTAAAATATAATAATAAATTTTGACTAAGGTTAACTAGTTGAACGTGGCTTGGTACTTTTACATCCCTCAAAAAATTAAGCAATTTAAATTGGTATATTCAACAGATTTATTTTAGAGATGATTAAGGTAAAGAAATAGAAACAGAGACTGTAATAAAAAGTAATATTACCCAAATGTGAAGCATTGCATGGAGTCGAACTACATCTTTTCATTTATCCCATTTGGTGCCAAAGTTGTTAATTTTCTTATCCAAAATCTTTCCCGAGTGAGTCTTTCCTCCCTAGACCAAGCAGAGTTGTGGTCAATGATTGTAATGGTCAGTCGATTGAGATCTGCCTTAGTGTGGCCAGGGGATCTCAAATGTCGACTGAGAGGGAGGTCTGGCTTGCATTGGTAGTCGCTACGATGACCGTTCATTCGTTTGTGAAACGGCTGTTCTGACTCGCCCAAAAGCCTTAAAGACTTGCTGGTGAGAGCTGATTTATCCTCTCAAGCAGGCTCTTCGTCAGTGGGCTCTTGCAAGGGTTGCGGAAACAAACGATGTCTGACTTGCAAACAAATACTGGTTACCCAGACTTTTAACAGTCACTCCACTGGTACAGAATACACCATATTTTGCAATGTTAATTGCAAGACTACAAATGTTGTGTATCTCCTACAGTGTAAATGTGGTAAACAGTATGTTGGCGAGTCAGAACAGCCGTTTCACAAACGAATGAACGGTCATCGTAGCGACTACCAATGCAAGCCAGACCTCCCTCTCAGTCGACATTTGAGATCCCCTGGCCACACTAAGGCAGATCTCAATCGACTGACCATTACAATCATTGACCACAACTCTGCTTGGTCTAGGGAGGAAAGACTCACTCGGGAAAGATTTTGGATAAGAAAATTAACAACTTTGGCACCAAATGGGATAAATGAAAAGATGTAGTTCGACTCCATGCAATGCTTCACATTTGGGTAATATTACTTTTTATTACAGTCTCTGTTTCTATTTCTTTACCTTAATCATCTCTAAAATAAATCTGTTGAATATACCAATTTAAATTGCTTAATTTTTTGAGGGATGTAAAAGTACCAAGCCACGTTCAACTAGTTAACCTTAGTCAAAATTTATTATTATATTTTAACGGCCGTTTGTTTGCGATGTTTAAATACGCAGACTCTGTTGCAACTACTCTACCGTTGTCAAATTTGAAATATTTACAAATTTAGATCGTTCAGTGCTGTTTATTTGGAATTCTTATTGACGCAATCGTTCTTGTAACATCATAACTGTCGTCACCGTTAAAGCTTTAGAATTGTGCTAGTTCATATCGCACATTTTTATTTTTATTTAAAGCATATATTTGAACTCTCTGTTGTAATTAGTCATATAACCTATGTCGTGTTTAACACATATTTAGAATTGTGCAAGCGTCTTACCTGATGTTCGGTTTGACATTTTTATTGTATAAATTTCAAGATTGGTATAGTTTAATCTAAGTAGACTGATATATGATTCATTCAACATCACAATCATATTTACTGATGAAGGATATCTGTTATCCGAAATATTTATAAATAATTACATTTATAGTTCCTTTTTTTGTTATTGGTGTTGTTGTGTACACTTTTTAGGCGTTTATATATATATATATATATATATATATATATATATATATATATATATATATATATATATATCAACGTAAAATTATAGTACTTAAGAATTGAATGCTTCTTTTAAGTAATTTTATTGGGATGTAAAAGCGTTGATGTGATGTAATTATATATGAATAAACAAAATTCATGAACATGTGTATCACCTTACGTCACCTGTATATGTCGCATATCATAAATACTGCTCTCATTTTAATATCATTAAATTTATAAATTCCGTGTTTAAACAATATCAAAATACTTTTTCCAATTAACAAAACACCAAAATAAGAGCAAAGAAAAAAAAAATTTAAAACATACTGTCACCTAACTGCAGGTTATTGACTGTTGATTCAACACCAGTCAGCCATGATGAGATACTTTCTGTAGACGTTGCTGACCGTAACGGTTCAAAGTGAGGAGGAGTTGTTCGTTTTAAAAGCTGATCTTGTATGCTGTGAAATGAGTATTTGTTATTTTCAGTTTCATGGTTTTGTTTATCTGACATCGTTTGGAGAAGGTCTGGCGAATCTTTGGCGCATTCTGGGTGTCTGTCTGACGGATGGATAAATTTCTTTGGTTGTCCCAGTTTTTCTTCTACAACATTTGGATCAATTTCTACATTTAATCTTACTGGTATATGGATATCATTAAGCATCTGTCTTCTCGTAAGCAGACTTTGAGTTTCTTGCTTCTTTTTCTTGTCTGTTAAATGTGGTACTGGTTCTAAAATTAATATCACGTTTCATGAGATTTTCACTCCATTAACGCTTAGAAAACTTAAAATTATTCAAATATTCTCTATGAGATGTTATGCGTTGCTTTTATTCATGTTTTTACCTTTCAGAATCACAAAGGAACGCTTTCAAATATATTGGCTTTACAAAGGGAACAAATTAAAATGATCTTTACAATATGTAAAGAATTTTAGAAAAAAGGAAAAAGGAGATATACTAGTAATTAAAAAAACTTATAAAAAAGGAAATTGTTGGTTTTTATCAAGACTCCGATTTATTGAATAAAATGTGGAATTCAAAGAAAATCCATAATTATGAAATTATTAATCGATACCCTAAAACATGACCCATAATTGTTTACTTTTTACACATTGTGACTTGGATGGAGAGTTGTCTCATTGGCAATCATACCACATCTTCTTATTTCTACATTCTAACCTTTCATACATTTAACGCACAACGAACCATTCTGCTATTTTGAGCTAACAGTTTGTATATATGTTGTATAATGCTATTTTTCTACATTTAAATAATTTCCTTTTTTTCAGATTTAAAAATAATAAGTTGATGTTTTTTAACGTCCAGTAGCAAATTTTTAAAGAATATTTAGCGTTAGAACAATGAATTGGTCATGTAAAAAAAAAAGTCGTCCCAGTAATTATGATTGCTGAGGGATAGTAACATATGAGAACCATACCCTATAGACGCACCTTGTCTCACTCCGTCTTGGTATCCATAGCAGGATATGACTACCATAATGACGCTCCTTTCTCACTGCGTCTTGATATCCATATCAGGAAATGATTATCCTATAGACGCACCTAGTCTCACTCCGTCTTGATATCCATAGAAAAAATGTTTACCATATTGCGCACATTGTCTAGCTCTATCTGGATAGCCAAAGCAAGATATGCTTACCCTATAGACGCTTCCGTCTGTTTTCGCTATCAAATTTGTCTGTTGTATATCTGACAAGATTTTGGCCTTCTAACGAGTTTGTTTTGAGTGAATTGATGACATTTGTACAGAAAATGAAAATTATTACTTCATAAATTTGGAGCGTCCGTAGCGCTTTTCTGAATTTACCTTATTCGGGAACAAACGCTAGAGCCAAAAAGTTTGAAAGAATAGGATGTATAAGTACATAGGATGTATAAGTACATAGGATATATAAGTACATAGGATGTATAAGTACATAGAATGTATAAATGCATAGGATGTATAAATACATAGGATGTATAAGTACATAGAATGTATAAGTACATAGGATGTATAAATACATAGGATGTATAAGTATATAGGATGTATAAGTACATATAATGTATAAGTACATAGGATGTATAAATACATAGGATGTATAAGTATATAGGATGTATAAGTACATATAATGTATAAGTACATAGGATGTATAAGTACATAGGATGTATAAGTACATAGGATACGTGAGGGACTATATGACCAGAAATAGTATGTTAGGTCATAGAAATAAAATGTATGATGAACACTTGGTCAAAATATAAAACGTTTTGAATCAACAAAACAAGATATTTGCTCTCCTGTTAGGCCATTGTAGTTATAATGCCCCAAACGTTTTATGTATTTGGTTTCTCATTGTGCATGAGGATGGTTATTCCATTATACCTTTTGTACACACTCAGATGTCGTCCATAAATATTTTACTTGCTTCATCAATCCCGTTTTGGAGTATACATTGAATAATTAATATAAATATATGTGTGTAAACATACCTTTACGGTTACTGTTTAAAGGAACTATCCGCTTTAAACGCTTGTAAATGAAAACGCTACCCTAAAATGAAGTGACACCTAAGTAATTATTTCCCACGAACACATATAAATAATACTAGAATACACCCGCGACTGAATTGCAGTACCAATACCTTATTTTCAGCCTGGATTTTTAGTATTCGTATTGTCATCTGATAAAGTCATGCTGACTGTAAGCTGCACAGTTTTCTCAGCTTTCAGAATCTTTCTGTTTGAATCCGTCCTGTTATTTTAATTTTTTTAACTAATTAACCAAAATAAATAGTGATATTGAGGTGGAAGAAAACATACTTGTTAAATAGTGTACTATAGTGTAACATGGAAATAAAACAACTACTGGAAGAATTCCAGGTTCTCCTGATAGAGGAGGGATTTACAGAAGGTAACAGGTAACAACCGGAAACTACATGTGACATATAGGTGTCGGACCACCAATTCACTCCCTCCAATTTAGAACGTATGTAAAAGTAGCCCTACTCTGACACAAACTAGTGCTTTTGATGTCATTGTTTACTTAAAATAACCAACACATTTTCAGAAATGAAACTTTTGGTGAAAGAGAAATATATGTAGACCATTTTGAGCCAAAATTTACTTGTCAAAGAGTTTGCATTAAAAATTGAGGATATATGCATACCATAGTATACTAATTTAAGATTTCCAGGAAACCAGGTGTTATTTTTAGTAGTACTTGGCTTACGAAATGCAGTTCTTTCTTATATGACTTTAAACATGGGTTGACAATTGGTGATACATGTACAATTCAGGCTATACCTGGTTTCTATGAAGTTAAACTTAAGGTAAAATATTAAGAAAGCTGTGAAAATTGCAAAATTTGATTGAATAGATAGGGATTTTGAATTGGTGGTCTGACACCTATACTATTGGTATCGGTATCGTATTCGACCCGGAACTTGTTAAATATTAGTAATATTATTATGTCGAAAGCAAAAGGGCCTGGATTGGTGTAATTTTTAAACAACACCATTGTACTTTATTAGTTATATATAAAGTTGAATTTTTTTATTCGTCGTTTTTACGTCATGCCGGCTAACAAATTGGAGCTCGTTGGTTTAGTAGTATAGATGAGGCAGCTTCTGTCTGATGAGTATCCGAAGTTTATTGGTTTTAACAAGTGGATTTTGCATATTAGTTTTACTTGTCGGCCGCAATTTACTGTATAATTATTTTTATATACATATATATTTAAAAGTTTCTCACATTCTCATACGAGATCATGTGACAGGTAGTTTTATCGCCGCCATGTTTCCTGGGCCATGGTTTACAGACCAAAATCTACCTTTCTACATTTAAGATCTTTTAAGCATATCAATTTTACAAACGTTGACAACAAAAACTGTTAATAATTGAAATAATTCAATTAAGATATCGTGCATACAAGTAAAATAGTGATATGGTTATGACAATGTTAATCATCTAATCCTTATCAGTAGACTAACAAAGTGCCAAGTTTATAAAAGAACATACAATAAAAATCAGTACAAAGACTACTTAACTATTTTGACCTTAATGTTCCATATATAGGGTATGGATTGAATGCATAAAAGAAAAAAAAACATCACAGGAGATACTACACATAATCATTCGTCTTTTAGGGGGTGTATTGTGGTTTTGTTGTTGTTGGTGTTGTCTCATTGGTGTTTAAAGTCGCAACTCCTTGTATTGAAGGATGTATATGTGCATCAAAGGAAGACTGGTTACCTCACCATAAATTTATATAATAATACATTCATTTTTGACTCTTGATTTTTTTTTAAATGAGAGTTTTTATCTATTTAATATTTTTTTAAACAAAAGGTTGTTTTCTGTGTACGACATAATACTACTATTATATATAAGGGGAATCATTGTGTTTATGGGCCTAAGGTGTTGGCAAACGTATGAAGCTCAAAGTCACTTAACAACAACTTCACGGCGATTTAAAGGTATCTGTACTAATTTCAAGTACGTGTTCATCAGAAGCAAGATCGAAATAGGAGAATTAGAAACTTTAACAATGAACATGTGTTTTGAATGCACATTACCAGACTTAATTTGATCAAATTGTATGGCTGCTGACACTCATCACTCTACTACTGATAAATACAAATTTGGTTTAGATTTTACTTACTGTAAATAGTTTCTAGACGTTTTACCTTTTATCCCCAAACCGGAATGTTCCTCGAAGAAGCTCGTACGAAGAAAAGAAGCATTTTTTTCAATAAACAATGAAGCATTAAAAAAGGGAGGGAATACCAAGGGGGCAATTTAAAACTCAAGTCTAGAAAATCAGACAACACCATGACAAATATAAAACAACGAAAAGACAAACAGCAGTCCCCCGGGGTCGAAGTTAGCTGTTCTGAAGGGGTCAACAGTTCCTTCTCCACTAGACTGACAATCGTTGTGCTACTCCAACAAGATAACAAATAACATCAACCGTTACAGAGTGACCTGCTATGGAGTAGGCTTTTCTCTATGTTGGTACTTTGGAGATAGATATGTAAATTTTAATCTGTAATTAATATATACATTTGGTGATAACATACCGTTTTGACAAGAATCAGCCAAGGAAAATATCTGGTATCATCAGTTAACATGTCACCTTTCCTACAAAATAATCAACTTTCTTCAGTGGTTTAACATTTTCGTTTAAGGCACAATTAAGGATTTTTAGATTGATAAATTGTCTGCATAAAATGTGGTTTAAATTCCAATTATCTTTACATAAATAATTGAAAAAGACGGGGTTGGTTGATTTTGCTGTGAGTTTTAAAACTTTTTTTTTAATGTAAAATTCAAAAGTTAACGGAAGAAAATAAAATATATGCAAGGAAGGAGCTAGACAATTATAAGTTGTTTTTAATGTGAACGAATGTTTCATTTTTTTTTTATATAATCAGAAGATGTCATAAGCATTGCAATGTTTATAACTTTAAATGATGAAATTAATTTTCATCGTTGATCCAATTATAATAAATGTCAAAATCAATCTACCATTTGCTGAAGCGTGTTGTAGTCATAGTTTTGAAATGTGAAAATCTAGACGGATGTTATTGGAGTAAATAGAGTGCATATATAAAACTGATACATGCAAATATTTAAATATTTCAATTGAATTTGGTGTATTAATTGATAACATAAAAATCCCTACACTCACTTTACAAGACGTAAATTTAGGCGACATTAGTTTACCGATGTTCACATCTCTTCAGTCGATTAGGAAGGGACAAATCCAGGTAACAAACAAAAGGGAATCGCATGAACTCCTAAAAGAGCGACACCGGATGCTTCGACAGATATTAGCGTTTTATTACGGTTTTTCAAAAGTCACAATAAGACTTTCAATATAGAGCAATGGTTAAAACATAATTACAAGTTCAAGACGGGATCAAGCACCGATTTTAGCATAATTTTTTGACAGATTTCGATGACGCTTCATATATGCGTTGAAGGACACATATTGGTTATGGTAGTAACGTATTGCATACTTTATTTAACAAATACTGTCATAGTTTACCAAGCAGCCTCCAGTCATTGTAAAATACAAAACTATGCAAACATTAAGAAACCAGAGACAAAACTATACAAACGTTAAGAAACCAGAGCCAAATCTATCTATTAGATAACTTCGCAGGAAATAATATATGAATAAGTCCAATAATTCGAATGAACGGCATAGCAGTTTTGATAAACATTAAAACTGATAGAGAAAAGTAAAGTATTACACATAAGACCATATTCACAACCATGCAATTGGTAATCTTAACATACTCCTAAATTCATTAACTAACTTGAAATATTGAGTTTTAACTTTCTCTGTGTTTTCTTCCAACTTCTCGATTGGAAATCCTTTCATATAAGGTAAGTGTCTGAAAAGAAAGAAATCAAGGCTTATAATATCATACAGACGAATATTATTAAGAGAGGATATCCACAACTAGAATAAGGCCGCTTCTCAATCACGTAACAGAATGACATTTAACGCTGTCACTTATGAAGTTCAAATTCTGAAGATGATCATCTTTTTCAATATAAAACATAACAATACAATTGTCGTATAATTAGTAAACGAATAATACCATAATGATGTCACAGTGTATCTCAACTGTGTATTACCCTTTAAATGGCGTTTGATTATTTGTGTCGTTGGTTTGCTGTCTCATTGACGTAACCTCTCCTTTTATATCAAAAAGAATTATAAAAATTATGATTTTATTATTTATTCGAATGTCAGACAAAATGGTGGTTGCATCCTGTTCGTGGTTATTTGTATTTTATCACCTAAGAAAAAGTTTCCACAAAGTAGCAATAACATCGTGTTATCACTTCATTGTTAAAACTGTCATAAAAACTAAAGCAGTAGCAACATTACCTTACATGACCCTTGTTTAGATTCTTTTTTTGTCATGACCATCAGTTCGGATTTTACCCCTGCTTTTGATAGACGAAGATATTTAGCTTAACCTGATGCATATATGAGAAGTAATATGCATATAGGAACTCGAATTAATCATGTTATCAATATTGATATAAACTTTTCACCTGAGAAACTGTTTCTGTTCTGAATCTAAAACACAAAGTCCTCCCCCTAACATAAATATTCGCCGGAAATGTTTTTTCTTCAGTGATAACAATTCTGTTGGTTCCTTAGTAATGACAGTACATTCTCGATGAGTATCATCTACAATGGCCTTTTCCTACAATTGAGCCATTTTTTAAAAATGTGACATTAAGATAAAACATATTTATATAAAAAAAGTGCCACTGTTATATATATAAAAGTTGATGTACAATAAGGCATTTAAAACATTGTGAAATTAGTGGTAAGTTCATTTTTTTTATCAGTAAGCTATGTTTGGAGAAATCTCCTCCCGGCAAAATGCTCTGGTTTATCTTACATAGAACTAAATGTTAGAAACTAATTTTCGAGGTATCTAATTAAAATATCGATCAATCAGTTTTTTTCTGCCATGAAATTGTCAGTTCGTTTTCGACTTATGCGTTTGACTATCCCTTTGGTATCTTCCGCATCCTTTTTGAGATGGTAAATAAACTAAATGAAGCATATATCGAAGTGTGCATGTACTTAAAATCTTAATGCTTACCCCAAATTCATCACCTTTAACGATAGATTGACCAAGTTTGGGTTTTCCATCAGAAGTTTCGTAAATAAGCTCAAACACTGAAACAAAATCAAACTCAAAGAGATTTCAAAAGGCTAAAAATAGGCCCAAAGTTAAATCATTTTTGCAATTCAGATTGAATAAATGTATCTACATGAATTGCTTCAACTACAACATGATTATTCCAACCCTTTAAGTTTTTAAGTGATAAAAATGCCTATAAACGGATTGGAAGCTGGACAAAAAAGAGACTTGAATGTTTTGTATTTGAAATTTGTCTAAAGTATCAAATTCGATCTAAGAATTTAAGTAGTGTCGAGTAACAATATAAAATTGAAATATATGATTAAAACTGTGTTTGTTAATTATTACTTACTTTCACCCGAAAGAACAAAATAACTAGCTGATGGTGGATGACCTTGACGAAGTATTATTCTCCTACCTCCAAAACTGAAACATATGATCAACATTGCCTTTCTAAACATGTACTGTTTATAAAAGAATATTTTGAATTAATAATGCTCAAAATGAAGTAGGAATTGTCCTGAAAAGCAAGCACGTCTTTATTTGTTTACCATAGCAACACATAATATACGTATACAGATTAACCAATACATCAAATTAGTAGGTTCTGTAAAGTTTGAAAACCAGGATGAAGAGCAATAACCTTGGACCGCCACTTGAAAGAGGTATGATGGAGATGGACAGAAAAATGGCTTTGTAACAGATAACCTAAGCCTTTTCAAAGAGTTGTTGCATGGGTTTAACCCGTGGTAGTTTATTTCCCTTTTATCACTTTTGATAAACTGACACAGTAAGCAATAATATCTATATACTCTGAAAATAAGCCGTATTTATTTGTGTTCTTGTCACATTTTAATCACATTACAGTACACATGCAGGACTGACCTGACCTTCGATTAGGGGACGACCATTTGATGGTTAGGCGTTTGGGGTTGGGGTTGGGGTTGGGAGGAAAGGGGGAGAGAGGGAAGGAATTTTTGTTACTGACAGAATATTCATTTTCACCATGAGTGAGGCTCGTTTTTTTTTTTGCGCGAAAATTTATGTTCACTTGTACACATTTATTTCCTGCATTTTGTTGAATTCATTATTCATTTTCATTCTGTTTTATACAAGGTTATATTTTTTTAGTTGAAACTAGACCAGAATATTCATTTACAAAATCATCTTGCTAATAATAAACAGATGTGGTATGACTTCAACGAGACAACTATTCATAAAGCCCAAAGACAAAAATGTGAACAATTACAGGTCACCTCACGGTCCGTACCATATAGGTATAGTAAGCTATAAAAGGTATGACTATAGTGAAACTATTCAATGATCATTATTTAGGTGTACGGGTTTAATGCATTGTGTAAATGTTTAGCCGATATCTGCTTTGATTATAAACCTGTGTATACAGTTTTAAGGACAGGAATCTGTACTGTCTCTGGCAGCGGTGTCGGCGTTACCGCAGAGTTTATGGTTTTGTTTAAAAAAAAATGTTTCTTTTTGGTTTCCATTCATCGCTTATGACAGAGTTTATAAAAAAAATCGTATATATTATCTCATAAAAATTACTCATGTGTATGCATATTTGATGATTTTCTAGCTTCCTGTGTGGAATTTGATGAACAAAGCTTATGCATACGGTAATGCCTAATACCATGAAATGATATTTGAACAAAAACAAAACAGATATCGATTTGAAACATGTAATCCCATCGATACAATGTAAAAAAAGTAAAATATTATATAAATAACACATAGCTGAGAGGGTGATAAAACAGATTGTTACCCCGAGAAAACACTGTCAACTGAGAAGAGCCAAGGTTGACAATGTCTTTTCGAGGGATAACAATCTGCTCTATCACCCTCTTAGATATGTGTTAAGTAATTTATTATACTGAATGTTCTGTTATTACTGTCGATTAAATTTCAAATTCTTGTACATAACAACCATTCGTATTTAATAAAGCGCACACTTGATCAAGCGTCTCCGTGAAGGGTAATAGAGTATGTGCCATAGGATAGCGTCGTATTAATAAAGCGCACATTTGATCAAGGGTCTCCGTGAAGGGTAATAGAGTATTTATCATAGAATAGAGAAAATTAACACCCTCGTATAAGCCAATCAAAATATTGCATTTTTACGTGAAGTATAATAATATAATTTATTTCATTTGATTATATAACACAATCCCTTTCTATCCTACCACCTCCCCCCACATCCCCGGTAGCTATACTGCCATCTTTAATTGCAATGATCGGTATAGATTTTTTTTAAATTAGCAAATTTTGATAAAGAAAAGCAATATGATTGTAGAACGTTTTATTTAAATTAAACAATTCTAATATTTATCTAAAGAAAAAAATCTTTATCAAAAACAGAATATCTCTATTACAAAGATTTGAATACTTTTATTCTAAAGGGGAGTAAACTTCGTTGTTTTCTTTTTTAATGATAGATTGCACTCTAAAATTATCTATTTTGTGATGCATCAAGAAGACGACGGTGACCACATGTTTATATTCATTTTCGAAAAAGTATTCAAAAAGAAATATATTCTCGTATCTATTTTCAAAGCCATATCATTCAGCTCTTTCGCGCCTCATCTAATAGTATTTTTTCACTGTATAATCTGAACAAACTATTACAACTTTTTTCAAACTATTGCTTGAAAACGTACTTAAAGTAACAAATATTTTATCACATTTTTTTAAATAGCACAATTCAAAACTACATTTTACCAAGTAAAAATGTATCATTTTATTTTTATACCACAAAACTGCGACCAAAAAGATGAGAAACCAAAATGATGTAGTACATTATCAAACAATTCAGAATGTTCTATGCACTTTGCTTGATAGCGGTTAAAACTTACACAGCCTACATTCAATACGCCAGTCAGTCATTTTTAAACAATAGTAAAGAGGATATAAGCTTTGTACGAACAGTCTTAATACCAAATAAAAACTGACCTTTCATATTCTCCGAATTTAGCAATTTCCCTCTGCATTCTGAACGGATACTGGGCTATATCTTTAATGTTTCCCAATGCTATCTGTGCCTTAAATAAATAATTGTCTACCATTATATAGTACTCAAGTTACTAAACTCAATAATACTTCCATTACCGTTCCTTTTTGGATTTTTGTTTAATTAGCAGTTTGTTTACAATCTCTCAATACACTTAACATTACTGATGTAATTGAAATATACAGATAAATGATATTGGTTTCAATGCATCAATGGTACAATTTATGGAATGGGTACCTGTGGGAATTTAGGTATTACTGTTTGACTAGTTTTCTTTTTGTTTTTTAGTTTTAAGATCTATAAACAGCCACATCATTACGGCTGTTTATGCATTGTCATGCCGCATATAAATCTTCCATTTGTTCTAAATATGACCATATCAAAAGTTTCACTTCAACAAAACCCAAGGTGACCTTTGACAATCGATAGTGTCATTACAATGCACCAGAAAAGAGAAATTGATGGACATGAAATATTGATACACAAAATGCTCTTCTGATTCAAATACGTGTTTGAACAATCTTACAATTCAAAAGTAATTTCATTTATTTATGTAAAATACTATTTTGACAAAGGTTAGTATTAGAATACTATTTATTTATTTATATGCGATGATTGCATGTTTCAGAAAAGTAGGCCACAGCATAGGTGATTGATATATATCAATATTTAAACAACACTTAGTCAAGGGTTTAAACAAGCTCTCAAATGATGCTTTGTCACATAAATATGATATTATTAACACATGTCTCACAAAATATAGTCAAACGTCAGTATTATAAAAGTAAATCAAGTTTTATTGAAAACGTATACAATGCACATGCACTCAAAGAAAAATATCAAGTTCTCAAGATATATCTTGCAGAGTAATAATAAAGCGACAACTTTCTTTCTTTCATTTTGTACCTTAGAACAAGATAGAGAATATTTCTGAATTAATCAGCCAGTCTATGTTTATATTATACTTATTCTTGTTGACATATCGTGGGAATTAAATTAAGTGATGATGTCAACAAATTGTATAACTACTTGAAATTAGATGCAAATTTAATCAAAAGAATCACCATTTATAATCCACTATACAAAATTTGCCATTATTATAAAATTATGAAGCAACTCGTACAAATGTAGTTATAAGGATTAGGCTTCTCTCCATGAATACGGAAGTTATTGGACTATCTACTCTGTTGAGTCCAGTGAAGGACCACAATGATATGATACGCTAGCCTCAGTGCGGAACGTTTTAGAGTAAGAGTTATATTGTATACTTTTGACTGATACTGCAGTGATCAAGAAATTTAAAGATCAGACTCAACGTATAAGTCTAATTAATGATACAATGACAAACATTATTCCTTCAGAACCCTGTCTCACATATATGTTAAGCTTCCTCGGGTTTCTTTCTTATTGAAGTAAACCCATGTGTAGACACCTGCCTATTGTTGAAGACTGTGTATTGCCCTCGGGATGTTGTTGGGATTCTGTCTCCTTTTATTCATAGCCACATCTTAGTTTATAATAAGACACTGATTACTGAAAATGTACACACATCTATGAATAGTTGCCTATGATTTTTTGGGGAACAAAATACACGGTAAATAGGAAAAAATTAAGAACGAGCGCTTCGCTTTATTCATGATGATTATGAAAATTCTTATGAAGCACGCCTGTAGATTTCAAACCTTCCTTCACTAAAAACTCGTAGAATGCAAACCATTGCCTTGGAGATCTTTAAAGTTTTAAACCAAACATGTTAATTGTTTATTCAAAACTTGTGTTATAAAAAGACCAATACATATAATTTCAGGTATGTGAGCACTGCTTGCCCTTACCAAGAACCATAACTTATGGTAAAATGTCTTTTAGATTTGAGGCAGAACAAGGTTGACATTCTCTCCGAAATGAGGCCAGAACTATGACGTTTTTTTTTGTATTTAGTAATTATATAATTTACTTATTTGGAAAGGGGTGAGGCAAATATGTAATCGCACCCAATGCATGCCGTTCTATCTAAGGCAGCCTTTTTTGCTCTGCATTTTTGCTGTGCAAGTATTTTTGTTTTATATTTCAGTGATTACTGGCATCCTCAGTCGGTGCACATAGAGGCGCTTGTCACATGGCCATTGACTGTGGAGGTTCAGAAAACAAGTATGCTTTCATTAATTTGCATGCTCTTTTATTTTTGTTTTGCATGAAACTGAATAATGTTTATGTGATAAACGGTTGAAGAGTTGACCAGAGCTCATGTTAGGATTGTTATTGTGTATTCATATAGATCGACTTTAAACTTACTTACTTAATATATCCATTTAGACTTTGGGTGTATTGCTTCAAGTGACAGTAATATTTCAAATTGATGTGTTTAGTAAAAACAGAAAAACTCTTTCATTGATTGGCCTTTCAACGTGCTTGAACATACACACATGCAAGAAACACACTTCTTATTGCTGTTCATGATGTTAAGATATGGTAGTTACCTATGTCGGTCTTTCCTTTCTCACACGACACACCCACATAAACACACTTCTTAATGCTGTTTATGATGTTAAGATATGGTAGTTACCTATGTCGGTCTTTCCTTTCTAACACGACACACCCACATAAACACACAGAGGAAGAGAGAATATTCCCTCAAACGATATAGGCATTGATAGAAATAGAGGAAACATAACGGTCTGTGTCACAAAAATAAATAAAATATTCAAACATTTTTATCGAGGATTTAAATTTAATGCCACATCTCTTGGCTTGCAATTTGATCATACATTGTCTTAGTTCATTGCTAATCCCTTAATCCCCGACGCAATTTAACAACGGGATGTTTGCCTATTATAATGCTATACAATACCCTAAATACTTCTTCTTCCGTTCGCTGGTGTGGTGATTTCATCAGTATTCTTCGTGTTTCCTTTGAAATTCTAACCTGAAAATCATATAAAAGTTAGTTAGTACTCATAAATGCAAACTTGTTTGGTTTGACGCAACCGGGGTTTGAACAAAAGACCTACCGCTTTCGAGGCGAGCATGCTACCACGAGAACACCGAGGCTGTGTCGAAACATGATTACGCGGCACTATATTGGAGGTACTATAGTATACCATACAATGATGATTCAACTTTTGATTGGATGTATTAAAGTATACTGATACAATGATAAGTCGACACTAGATTGGAGGTATCATATTATACCAATACAATAAAAAGTCGACACTATTATGATGTATTATCGTAAACCGATACAATGTAAGTCGACTCTGAATTTGAGGTACTATAGTGTACAATACTATGATAACTCAACTCTAGATTGGATGTATTAAAGAATACTAATACAATGATAAGTCGACACTAAATTTGAGGTACTATATCATACCAATGCAATGAAAAGTCGACACTATAATTATGTTTTATTGTAAACCGATACAATGATCAATCGACACTAAATTGGATGTAACCTATTGTATACTGATACATTTAAAAGTCGACACTAAAATGGAGATGTTATAGTTAACCGTTAAAACGATAAGTCGTCTACATATAGTTGGATGTATTTTATCATACCGATACAGTGAAAATTCGACACTATTATGAGGTATCATTATAAAACGATATACTGATTAGTCGACTCTACATCGGAGGTACTATAGTGTACCGATACATTGAAAAGTCGACACTTTTGGGAGGTATCATTATTAAACGATATACTGATTAGCCGATTCTACATTGGAGGTACTATAGTGTACCGATATATTGAAAAGTCGACATTTTCAGGATGTATCATTGTAAAGCGATACACTGATGAGTTGACTCTACATTGGATGTACTATAGTGTATCGATACAATGAAAAGTCGACACTATTATGAGGTATCAGGTAAAGCGATACACTGATAAGTTGACTGTACATTGGAGGTACTGTAGTTTACCGATACAATGAAAAGTCGACAATTTTATGGGGTTTGTAAAAGGATACAGTGATAAGTCGACTGTATATTGGAGGTACTATAGTAAACTGATACAGCTATAAGTAGACACTAGATTGGATGTATTATGGTAAGCTGACAGTAAGATTTACCAACTTTTTATTGGATGATGATGATGGATGGCTGCTAAACGTCCAGCGGCCAATTAATGTTAATGTAATTTGAATTTTTACCCTGCTTTGTACTAGACCGTCATGCTAAGTCTGATTTTAACGTGCTATTACAGTCCACAGGAAGACATGTCACCCTACCCGGACACAGTATTCTAATTTCTGACTCCGAGCAGACCGGTCTTTGTTCCTACTCCTTTATGCCGCGTGCTTTGTGGAGAAGCAGCAAATACTAATTAATAATAATAATAAGTCTTTGGTTTGACCAGGCCGGGGTTTGCACCCTCGACCTCCTGTACTCGAGGCGAACACGCTAACACGAGACCACCGAGGCGGTACTATTAATAAGATGTTATACAGTATACAGATTCAATGATAAGTCGACACTATATATCATATTAGCGTAAGCCGATAATATGATAAGTCGACACTATATATCATATAAGGGTAAACCGATAGTATGATAAGTCGACACTATATCTCATATCAGGGTAAACCGATAGTATGATAAGTCGACACTATATCTCATATTAGGATGAGCCGATATATTGATAAGTCAGCACTATATCTCACATCAGGGTAAGTCGATAGTATGATAAGTCGACACTATATTTCATATTAGGGTAAGTCGATATTATGATAAGTCGACGCTATAAATCGTATAAAGGGTAAACCGATAGTATGGTTAGTCGACACTTTATATCGTATTAAGGTGAGCCGATATATTGATAAGTCAGCACTATATCTCACATTGGGATAAGCCGATAGTATGATAAGTCGACACTATATCTCATATTAGGGTTAGTCGATAGTATGATAAGTCGACATTATAAATCGTATTAGGGTAAGCCGATATTATGATAAGTCGACACTATATGTCATATTAGGGTAGGCCGATAGTATGATAAGTCGACACTATACATCATATTAGGGTAAGCCGATAGTATAATAAGTCGACACTATATCTCATTTTAGAGTAAACCGATAGTATGATAAGTCGACACTATATATCATATTAGGGTTAGCCGATAGTATGATAAGTCGACACTGTACATCATATTATGGTCAGCCGATAGTATGATAAGTCGACACTGTATCTCATATCAGGGTCAGCCGATAGTATGATAAGTCGACACTATATCTCATATTAGGGTAAGCTGATAGTATAAGTCGACACTATATATTGCATTATGGTAAGTTGATAATATGAATAGTCGACACTAAGTTGGAGGTATTACATTTAATCAATTGTATGAAATGCGACACTTTACTTGCGATATTTTTACTAGATTATGTCGTCATTGATTCAGTTAGTGTTGGTACTTTGACTTACCGCGGTTTTGGCTTTGTATGAGGATTTGTCAAACATAAGATCCACTGTTTCATAATCTGATGTTCTCAATTGCATTTCAGTGTACAGCCGTTTTGCTTCTTGTATAGTATCCTTTGAACTGAAATGAATATTTTGTAACAATTGTGAATTCGAGAAAACTGTCGTCTTGAAAAAATGATAGAAACACATGTGATTAGAAAATTTTATTTGGATGAAAAATAAATAATTATACCTACCGTTTAAAGTGTAAAATTTGGACAGCTACTACAACCTCCATACACATTTTTAGTGTTCTCTTCCTTTTTTGTTTCACTTGATGTAAAGTTGACATTTTTCCTTCTCTTTCCTTTTCCAGAATAATATTTGATATAATGATTGTTGTCTAAAGGCAACATGGAATATTAAGTAATATCTCCCACGTATTACGGCAACATGAAGTTAAAAGGTATATATTATATTCAATATAAGTGTCATTTTTCAAATTTATGTTTATATAATATTTCTTCGTTAATTGCATCTTAATTTTATAGCTATCAACTGGATTTTTCTCGGATGACTTCGTTTCATTCAAATTCATAAGCAAAAAATGTGAAGCTTTATGGCCATTTAAAAGGGAAAAAAAACGTAATTTGTTAAACACTTAAGGAAAACATATTTAATCTTATTATAAAGTTGTACATATAGATGGATACCATTCGTTTAAAGTGGAAAATAATATTTTTTGTTACTTGTAATGGAATGTTAATTCCGTCTTATACCTGAATTATAAACTGAGTTCTTCATAAAAGTGACATTTTTACTTTAATTTCGAATTCAGGTTATTAAATAAAAAATACACATTAGATATTGATACAGTGAATACGCTTTTTGAACACATATATGTCCACTAAATATTTTTGAGGGTTTTTTGTGTTGTTGGGTTGCTGTCTCTTGAAGTATATTCCATATCCCCCTTTATACATAACATTTGAATTGGTTAAATACATTTAATAATAATCTGATGGATGATGCAGGCAGATAAACAATGATAACAATGCATGTATTTAATTTCTTTTTTTTTAAATTTAATTCATTTCCTGGGAAGAATTCGCTTGACATTTTACCGATGATTATGTAACCAGACTTTTCGCAAATCCAGAAAACGAAGTATCAAATTCTATATAGTATATTCTATTTAAACAATAGAAAATAAACTGTTGAAACTATAGAAAACAAATATTGGGTTCATGTTTCTTCGATTTTCGAAAATAATTTTACTGTATGCATACTTCATAACATTTTGTGGATGGCCACAAAATCAAAATCTGTATGACAAATAAAAAAATGACTGATAAAAATCCTACTGCTTCTGTTTTTTAATTTCATTCAAATGATTAAAAATGAAAATACAAAGTGAGCACAGAATTGAACTCATTTGCAGTTAAAAAGACTTAAACATTATATCAATCATAATTACTGTTGATACCATCAGATATTAAACTATTTTATCTAATATATAAACAAAATTCTTAATTGTTTTACTTTTGCATTGAATTAGAAAAAAACTAAATGAATTACTATTGTTGCTGTTTTAAATCAATACAAAAAACCAACAAGTTGCACAAATCGTCGTGCTAGGCATACCCCACTCGAAATTCAAAGTTTCGATAGCGGGAAGAAGGTTTCTGACAAATATACAACTAAAGTGGTCACCATACTATCTTGTTCTATCTGGAAAAAAGTTGTAAAAAGTAAAAAATAACAAAAATACCGAACTCCACGAAAAATTCAAAACGGAAAGTCCTTTATCAAATGGCAAAATCAAAAGTTTGAACACAACAAACGAATGGAAAACTCATTCTTTACGTCTGAATAATGTTTTATTTTAAAATAATTGCAACAGTTTTTATTTAAAAAACATCTTAAGGTTGACCTACCTCAATAGATAAAACGCTGTCCACCGTAGACAAATAATTACTTTTCTTACAGCTAATTGGAATTTTTTGTTCCGGAAATGTTGGGTGTAATAATTGTCCACTGCTTTCTTTCTCGATTTTGCAATTTGAATCAATTTCGCTTTTATCTCCAAATATGTTTTGCTCTTGGTCAACTCAGTCAGATTTCTTGGTGAATCTTCAGGTTGGGTGCTGGATGAATTTTCGCTCTGTTCCTCCAAAGTGTCCAGGGGGTTTTGAAAGCTGTCTTTCCAGGGTGATGAAGTTTCAACTAATGTTTTTTTATTTTTCCGGTGCCTTGTGATACTCTTTAGATAATACGGGCTGTAGGAAAATGGCTTCGATTGATCAACATCATTCTTGTTGGACATTATCAATGTTGCCATTGTACACTTTATCAAATAATTATCCAAATAATTTTCAAAGTTGATGTTTTGTTGAATAATTTGCCTGTGCTTTAGTTCCGGAGGTTAGTAATTGTAACTTATATTATGTTCTGCAGATAAAGAAGCTAATTTACCGTGCATTTTAACTCGACAATAGTTACTTAAAACCCACAGTCGTTTATGATTTCGTTTTCGTTTTTCCTTCGTTACAAATGAATGTAATTAAAACAATTGTTAACCAAAGGTATTGTAATGAAATACCAATGTGGGGCCACAAAAGGAATTTTCTCATTTAAAAGACAGAAATGTTTTTTTATGGTCATTAAAAATTCATTTGGCTCTAAGAACTTTCAAAATTCAACGAGTTTAAAGTACAAAATAAAAAAGACTTATCTCAGCTAACTTATTATGAATATATTATCACCCGTGTTGACTTTTTTAATTAGGTACATAAGACATGAAATTATATAAACAGAACATATCTTAAAGGTTCACTTTTCATGTGAATCGAAGTGTATTTTATAAAAGATAAGATCGCCTATCAGGTAACGTCAATTAAAAATGTCAAGTTCACCTTTTTAATCTCGTGAAAAAGTTTTAGCAAAATACTTCTTTAATTTGTAAATGCCTCACGATTACATGCAAAGAAAACATAAATCGTGGTGAAAGATCTTTAAATTATCTCATTAATAATTAACAAAGAGAAGCACGAATGACAACTGTTTCACATGATACTATTTTATTGATATTGTTTAATATAAAGTGCAAAATGATTTTTATGAACTTTATCTGATGTGTCAGTGTTTTTTTAATTTCATTTTTTTTTAAATAATTAACACGAACCCACAAATTTACAAATGGTTTTTATGATATTATGTGCGTTTCGAGGAGCATATGAACTTTGATTTAAGATTGCACTCCATTGTTACTTTGAAATTCCATAGTGTTACCATGAGAAGGTTATTTCTGACGTAAATGTTCACTATAAGATGCAGAACCTTCTTGCCTTTTATTTTTGTTGTAATCAATCAGAATTTTACTGTATGTGTTAATTAATAACATAACACAATTTTCTTTATTTAAATGAATAGATTTACACATGAATTTTATCCCTGCATCATAATTCACTTGTTTCATTAAAAATCTGGACCGATCATTTGCTGTTTTTTGCGATCTAAACTACCGAAAGATTCATTAGAGATTTACAATAAGTGAATAACTCCGACCGAGTCCGAATACGAATAAGACAGAAAAAAATACGGTGGCAATCTCAAAACAATAAAAAAAACATTACATATTTTTATTAATAATTAAAGAACTAACGGAATAAACATTTTAGGCGATTTAACAATAGTGCAAAAAACTTCAACTATGGTTTTAAGCTTCTGACATGAATGCCTCAAAAGTGATCCCATGATTTTTTTAGCAATTCAGTTCACAATGTACTAACATGAGCAACACGACGGGTGCCACATGTTGAGAAGGATCTGCTTACCCTTCCGGAGCACCTGAGATCCCCCCAGTTTTTGATGTGGGTTCGTGTTGCTCAGTCTTTTGTTTTCTATGTTGTGTTTTGTGTACTATTGTTTTTCTTTTTTTTTAGTCATGACGTTGTCAGTTTATTTTTGACTTATGAGTTTGAATGTCCCTTTGGTATCTTTCGCCTCTCTTTTTAAATGTTGAAAGGAGACTCGTTATTCCTTTATGAGTCTGTGAGTTTTCTACCTTATTCATATCGAGTTGTATCTTTTCTGGTATAAACAACATAACGGTTTTGATATATTTTTGGTGGAAATTATGAAAATGCACGGACTTTTAAAACGCACCCCTATCCTTAACAAGTGACCAGTATGATGGAGTTTCTTATTGACAACAAATTTGTTGAATTTGGAGGTCGAATTTTTCAACAAATTGGCGGCATTCCTATGGGAACGAAATGTCCTTGCCGACCTCTTTTTTATTTTCATATGAATCGGAGTTCCTTCAGACATTTGTCAAAAACAAGAGATCAAAGAAGCCAGATCATTTAATTTCACATTCAGATATATGGATGATGTTCGTTCTATTAACAATCCAAACTTATTTAAGTAGATATTCATGATCAGTAACAACTTCACAAATAATACATGATGGTCTTGAAGTATAGATTGTAGGTACTGACTTGTTTATCATCTTAATTACGTGTTAGAGTGTTCTTTTTATTTGTCTTTGTATATTTTTAATCTTTACTGTTTAGTCCATTTTTGATAATATCCTTTTGTCGTAGCTCGGTATTTATACATATACCGCCATTGTGTTATTGTGCTATAGTCAATTTTTTTGTATTCTTGTCGTTCATGTTTGCTTATGTCCTTTGTCTATAGAGTGTCTATATACCATTTTGTTTTTCTTTGTTGACAAATGTTTGTTTTTATAGTGATTAAGATTATAACACAATGTTGCCTGCTCTACCCCAATTTTTGACATTTTTCCTATGATGTGTATTTGTTTTACTCACACATTGTTGTCAATATAATGGAATTCTATGCGACTGTATTAAAAGTGAGAGTTTTAGCTAGCTATAAAACCAGGTTTGATCCACCATTTTCTACATAAGGAAATGCCGGTACCAAGTCAGGAATATGACAGTTGTTTTCCATTCTTTGATGTGAATGAGCTTTTGATTTTGTCATTTCATAAGAGACTTTCCGTTTGAATTTTCCTTGTAGTTCGGTATTTTTGTTATTTTACTTTCTTCTTAAAACAGTGTGTGTTATAATGGTAATCATATTTGTTGAAGAGAGAGAGGATTGTCAAAGGGTGTAGTAATTGTACATACATATGAAGCACTTCATTTAAATTTCCAAAAATAATATGAACCTTGAATTTTTTTATTATTCAAACTGATGGAATTTGACTTTGATTGAACCACATTTTCATTGCCAAATCTTTTATGTAACTTTGTTTTAATTTCATATTTGTGTGCATTTTAATAACTTTGTAAACATTTTAATATTGTATCTACTAGTATACAAAAATGGGCAGAATTTTCTGAAACTGAATCGGAACAAATGTTAGAAGCGTTTGAGAAGTTTTTGTTAAACTTAAGTTTTTTTTAATCAGTTGACTATATGGTCTTCAGTTTATAGTGTTAAACAGTGTAATTCAGAGGATGTAGTTTTCAAACATATTAGAAGATTGACCAATAAGCTAAGAGCAGTAGATAAGATTAAATCTTCAGATTCAAATGACATGTTATGTTCAATCTTAAGCTGCATTTGAAATCTATTTCACGCTCCTAATTTGATCAAAGCAATTTGTTTTATAAACTTACTAGAAAATCCATATCTAGATTTGTTGATAATGGTATTAATTATCATACTTCACTGTTACAACCAACTTTGAGGTCCGTCACAACCGGAGACTTATATTTATGCCTATCACTAGTCACATATATAATTATAAGTAATGGCAAAGAGTTTTCGGCGTTACAATGTATAACTGTTCGACCAGAACGACTACTACAACACAGAGAAGCATGGCGTGTGAAATTCAACCCGTTAACACACGTGATGAAATTCAGGTAACAAATCCTTCTAAGAAAACAAACAGGCATCGAATCCTTCAGAAATATCTCAAAATAAAACACTTAATGTTGTAAAACATTATTTTGAAAGTTTATCAAATGGAGAAAAAAAGTAAATGAAAAAACATACTATTAATATTTAAAGATATTTTTCTCAGGGAGATACAGATATTGGTTTTGATCGTGGTATACAGAACACAATTTAGCTCACTGACGAAATGCCGATAAACAGCGCGTTAGAAGAATCAATGTATGAAGAAGCAAGAGAGCAATTAAAGCAGTGGTGTCATTCGATCTTTACCTTCCCTGTGATATTCTCCGGTTGTACTACGACATTGTAAAGGCCGTAAAATGTATATGAGAATGTGCACTGAATACAGTGCAATTAACAATAAATTAGCAGAGATAGTTATGCACTTCCATGAATATTTAGATTTTTTAGCCTGATCAAAGCACTTTAAGGACGTCGATACGAAGTCGGGTTATTATCAAGTGGCAATAGCGAAAGCTTACGAACACCGAACTGCATTTCCCTGCTGACCTTTATGATTTAGGAATATAACCGTTAGTCTTGTCAAATGTCCGGCCCAACGATGTATCAATGTATTATGGAAAATTATTTGGAGATCTACATCTAAAAAAATACTTCATAATTTTTCTGATACGTTTGAACAACATTAAATATAAAAATAAAGATGTGGTATGATTGCCAATAGTACAACTATTCACCAGAGTCCTTCAACAATGATACATTTTTAATGTTCAGCAGGGACACGGATGTATGCAACTATGGGTTACCATTCGGCCTTCAACAATATGCAACACCCCTACTTTGTGTCAGCGAAAGTCTCCATTTAGGAAAATGTGGTCTAAAATTCTAACTTTAAAAATGTCCCTTTCTTCAACAAAAAATGAAATATATAGGCCATATTGTATCTTCAAAGGGAGTTGGAAATGATCCTGACAAAGTTTTTGATTTTGCTACTCCAAATTAGCTGAAGGTATTTGCCAGATTCTTGATTTTTGTTGATATTAAAGGCGATTGTGCTACAAAAATTCTTAAGTAACAAGTTTTTTGTCTGAATTAACGTCAAAACCAGAAAAATGTCGGAAAGGGAAAAGAAAATTTCATTAGTTTTGTCATGAAAAGAATGTAAGTGGGGCCCAAACAGCAATCTGCATTCGAAAAACTTAATTAAATGTTATCTTCAACTCCAGTATCTTACCCTTACTACAATGCTCCTTTTAAATCATAGACGGATGCAAGTCGGTAAGGTTAAGGCGTTTTTTTTTATCAAACACAAGGACAAAAGCCAGTTGTAAGCTAATTAGCTATTTCTGATTGTGACATTTTGACCGAGTGTGGATACGAATGGCGAGTGGTGCATGAATTGCATGAAATGCTTACTAAGTCGACGCAGTCCGTCTCACTCCTGTTGGAGTTTATGGGATTCCCTCAGTTTTTGTTTGATTTCATTGATTTATCTATTCCTAATCGATTTGGGAGATTTAAACACCGGAAAACCACTTTTGGCTTAATTTATTGTAAAAAGAAGCTCTATGTCTTTATAAGAAATTAGTCCTCGAGATTTGAACATATAGATCGTTAGTCCATAATGACACCATCAAATGTTTGCTAAATTGTTGCCTTGTCACACGATGGTACGAATGTACTTTGTTGTTTTGCTACTTTTAAATAATTTACAAGGAAGAACAAATCAACCGCTGGCTGAGAACACAGTCTTTAAGTGTTAAATTCTAAACTTAAAAAAGATAAACATTTGTGGACATTAGTTTAAAAAAAAACAAAGACAAAGCTGGCAATCGACAGATCACTGAAGTAAAGTAAATGACCAATTTAATGTAGACATGCAGTCAACACTTCACTTCCAGTCAACCAGTCTTAAAACGGTTGCAGGCTGTCCTGCAACAGTCACTTTTAAAAATAGAATTTCTACAGATTTTGAAAAGTATTAATACAATACATATATCGTGTTTGTCTTTTCGTCGTCTTTCGTTTTTTGCCATTGTGTTGTATGTATTTCTAGACTTATGAGTTTTTTGCCATTGCGCTGTATGTATTTCTAGACTTATGAGTTTTGAATGTCCTCTTGGTATCTTTCACTCCTTTATTAAAAAGAAATTACAAAGAATATTATGTGTAAAATTATGCGGAGTGACGTATGCAAAATATGCTTTTATGATATTTGAATAACTAATTGATGGTGACATTTGACGTTATATTTCTGTCTATTGGTGTATGAATGAAAAAAGTAACATTCAAATGATAATAATATGTTCAACAAGATCCCTTTTACTGGTGAAATTGTTTATTTGAAGAGATCTGGAGAGAATTCTTATTAATGTGACACTAAGGCAAATAAAAACTAACATTTCATGACAAGCACTTCAATGATTTATGACAATAAATAGATTTGGCACAGTTCAAATAAAAATAACCATTTGAATGAAGTATCAGACATGAATAACTTGTTTGGTTGGACGTTTAGGTTTAACAGTGTTGACAGTTTGTAACATAATATCACTTCGGTAAGCTTCCCAGTCCACAGTATTCTGTAAACGTGACTGCATCTCTTCCTCTGATGGATAGGGACATAACTGAAAAAAGACATAATGAGAGCAATGAGATATTGTTTTTCATTGTATTTTGATTAGCAAAAATGGAAAGAATACCAAAATACAGTCATTCGTAGAACGAAAGAACTTGCATCTACCTTTTTCATGTTTTGTTGTTGTTGTTATTATTTTCGTTTTGTTGTTTTTATCTTTTTGCCATGGTGTTGTATATTTTTTCATTTACGATTTTGTATTGCCCCTAAGAATATTCTTTCTCTTTTATAGCGTGAGTACTTTTTATATAAGCTAGCTATAGTTATCATATAAGCTATAGTTATTACTTACTTGGATATTGAATACTGCAAATGGATGCAAAACATGTGACTAACATATTCATTATTCTGTAATTTGAATGTAACTATTTAGTGGTGAATTTCCAGACTGGGAATGTGTAATGTGTTCTTTATAATTATTTAAAGGAGAAGGTCCGGTAAGGGCTAATTTTGGCCTAACATTTGAAGTACATCTGATGAAAGATTTTTGACATTTTTTTAAACACTTAAGAGTCTACTTCAGTCGATTCAATTAGTTTTTTGGAACATGTTTGAACTGATTTGGTCATTAAAGACGCTGAAATTCAAGCTTAAATATGAAAAATCTATCAAATATGTCATAAAACGTCACTTTTTAGGTGGTTTTTGTCTAAAATGAAAATAGCCACACTCGTGTTCAGTCTCAACCTTTATATGTGTTGTGTAATATCATCAAGTACAACACATATTTAAATATTATGACTGAACACAAGTGCGGCCCCTTCCATTTTAGACAAAAACCGTCTAAAATTAGCACAAATGTTAAAATTGTGAAGATTTCGGTAATTTTGCATGAATTAATCATGCTAGTACCTGATGCATGCACATTGTATTGTCAAAAAAAGCCAATATTTATGTAGCAAAAGTATTCTGCTTTCCAATGAAAAACTAAAAGTTTACATTTTAACAAATTTGTAAAAATGCTATATTTTGCGGTCAAAAGGGGGTCTTACCGGGCCTACTCCTTTCATGAATGTTTCAGTTGCGTGTTATATATTTTTAATATTCTGTTTGATGCGATGATTATTTGCAAGTGAGGCTTAATGACATTCTGATCATAGAGAAAAATATTTGTATCTATTAATCTAACACATTATATTGATATCTCACTTCATTCCGGAGCCTGTTCTTCAGGAGATCTGTTGTATGTTGCATATAAAAATGTTTATCTATCAGGATGCAGTCAGCACCATTGCTTACAACACAGAAGTTTGGTTGAGGATCTAATATCAAATCTGCTAATCCCTGTAACCAGAGTAAAGAATTGGGTTCTGATACGATGTGAAAAATACACATCCTTCTCATAGTTTGTACATGATATCATATTTTCGTTCTAACTATGTATGAACTATTTTCCACTGCACGGGAAGCAAACAACAAAGAAATACATGTTATTACATTTAGTATTTGTTTGTGTATACTTTGAAGTATTTTCTCTTGTCTAGCGTACCTCGCGAGAAAGCTAATACATAGTCATTTCTGCTTATGTTTTGGTATATCTCCCTTCCTTTGTTTTCGAAATAACACAAGTAAGCACATTTTCATATATTATCATATCAATGAATAATGAACTATCCTTTCATGTAATAGTCAAATGATAAATCATGACTATAGGCAGCGTAAAATTGTTTTCCTTATCAAAGCAGGAACTCATCAATGGTAATTTTCTGCAGGCTAGGTGTTTGAAAAATTTATTTTTCTCTTGCCAATCTACACTAATTCCCTTGCAGGCCAACTTTGATCGTATAGAGTTTATATAAAATGAAATGTAGAGAACACGACAATAAGACAGAAACTTCATTATTACGGATAACTTCAACACATGTTTATTTTGAATTTCTGCGTAACCTCTAAAGCAACTGATTGTATCCCCGATTTTCGGTTGGGTTCGTGTATTTCAATCTATGGCTTTGCGTGTATTGAAATGTACGTTGTTGTCTTTTCTTTTTGTCATGGTTTTGTTTATCCAATTTAGTCTAACCTATGCATCTTCTATTTCTCCCTAGCTCATTTCAAATTTTGTTTTATTATTTTGTTTAGATCAAGTCATACTTACAAATACTTGACCTTTAATTAGAGTTTGTATATTAACAAATTCTGGCTTTAAATCAGCTTCTGTTATATGGTCTGGATCCTGAAAAATATTTTTTTTTCACTTTTTGAACACACTGAATATATCTGTAGTAAGGAGCAGTTAAATTAATTATGATGGTTGTTTTGTCATTATGATTGTGGTGCTCTATTATATATATATTATCGAGTATTTTATTCTCCTTTTCGGTTAACTTATCGAACATTTAAAAGGAGTGAAATCAGTATTAAATCAATAACTTCATAGGGGCAGGTGCATTGACTGTAGGCATCTCCTGTCAGACATGTATCATTGTTTGATACTTTAGAGTACCTTGTACCAGCTAAATGTTCACTGTTTTCAAGTATTTTACCTTTCGTTTGATACCAGTATCTATATCATCCCTATATGTTAACTTTTCTTCCTGAAATCCAATCATTTCTTTTTCTAGCTCAATTATGCTTTCTTTTCTTCTTGTATCTAAAATAATATTCATACATTTTGTCAAATTGATTTATGGTTTGAATGATGTTTGTAGTTTGAAAACAAACATATTGAGTAGAATTTGTAATTGCTATAAAGACTTTTCAAAGAACACAAAAATCAATCATTTTTTTTTTAAAGTAAATAAATTATATTTCAGAACAATACACAACAACAATATCTACAATTTATAACATGATTTATAACAAACCTTTCTAAAATTGTCCGTTTATAAATTTATAAATTATAAAGAAACTAAGGTTTCAACTCCCTCAGGCAAAGTTGACCTTAGATGAATTTGGCTATTTGTTTTATGTATTTTTGTCATATAGCTCTTCAACTGTTTCGGTACTTATACATCCCTCGGATTTCAAATGTTTGGCTTTGAGCGTTCCTGATGAAGGTAAATCCAGAAAAGCGCTTCGGACGCATGAAATTATTAAACATGTTGTTTTCAATTTTTTTCAGAAAACTGCTTCTGAACAGAAAAAATGCATTTGAAAAATCCCTTTCAAAGATAAAAAAAAATTGTCAGGGAAATATACAGTTCCCAGTAGTTGGTAAAAATTCCTTGGCATACATTGTAGAAAACTTTACCTGTACTAAATAATAACTTTCCTGTACCAACTTCTTTTTTATTTTGCCTAGTATTATATGCATAGTCTACAGAGCTTTCTGTGTCTTCGGACAGTGTTGGTAAGTATAATGATTGTATATTTTGAAATGAACTGCGACTATGTTTTGGTACTTTGTTTTCTGATGCAATATCCGGTAAACTGAAACTAGAGCGGTTGCTGGGAACTTCCGGTACCGACTCCATATATCGGCCATTGGTCATGTCTATATATTCAATGGCATCTATAGGATGTTTAAAAACTTTATATTTTCCAGGAAACTCTTCTAAATATTCATCATCAGTCTGAGCATTTCTTGTTGGTATATTTAACTCCGTTAAAGCTTGTCGTCTGTTCATATCTTTTTGTTCAGCCATGTCTCGTTTCTGTTTTTCAGAAACAAATTCTGTTTTCACTATAATAAGGAACGGACATTTATGATAGTTAGTAGTATTCGGTCACAGAAGATACACATTAATCATTTTGTATTTATAAAAACATAGCGTGAATAAATAGTATGTGTTAGTAACAATAAAACATTACTTTATGGTTCTTACAAGTGAAACACAAATATTTAAGCATTTTTCATTGTATTTTTACAAATAAAGTATGCAAACAAATCTGCTCAAGGAATCAGCAAAATTTTCTCATTAACAAGCTGTTGAGTAAATATTAAATTTGTAGCATTTTAAAAACTCTGTTTCAATACAACAATTATTACTTGGGATATGTAGTACCTGATGAAAATGATCAAAAACGCTTTCACGTTATAAATTTGGCATCTGTGATTTTTGCTAACTTCAGATATATTTGATCTTGGAATATTTTTTATAGAAGACAAATAATCTATGGTAATTTCAACAATGCCGAAATTAAATAGCACCGAAATTGTCTTTGTAAGAACAAGAAGTATACGAGTATTCATATCGATTTTTTTTGTGTTTCTGCAGAAGACACTTAACATTCAAATGTCTTTAAAAACTGTTTAACATGTTATTATAACATAAGAAATACAACAAAATAGTAAAAAGAAAAACCACAAACACATCAACTTGCTTAGAATATAATTTTTGTCAATGAAACCATTTTAAAACCTATATATAAAGAATATCAAAGACATAGCTAGATAATACAATTAATTATCTAATTACTACCACAATTTGATATTAATAAGTATTGTAATTTTCATTGTTATTAATAAATGTAATGTCAGTATTACAAATCTAATCTTGAATCAATCCTAATCCTATCTTATTTTTTAGGAAATATTTTTACAAATTCAAATGTGACGTCACTTTGTGTGTTTTTTTAGAATTTCAAATGTGACGTCACTTTGTGCGTTGAGGCTTTGGCTAACTCGGCTGTGTATTTTTATGTGTTGGATTAAGTTGTTTTATGTTATGTATCCGTTTGTATTCTGTAGTTAGTCCCCACTTCGGTTTTATCATGTATATCTATTATATAGTCATTTTATAAAATTTACTGTTTTCAAAATTATATTTTATTCTAAATAATAAGGATGTTCTTGTCCCCGGAAGAAAACCCTGGCCGTGTTGGGTGCAACGTTTTGGAAGTTTTGGTTCTCGGTGCTCTTCAGCTTTGTACTTGTTTTGGCTTTCAAACTTTTTTCATCTGAGCGTCACTGGTTGGTCTTGTGTGGACGAGACGCACGTCTGGCGTATTGAATTTTAAGCCTAGTACCTTTTGTTAGCTATTATTCGTGTGTTTCTTTGTCAATATGTTCTCCCATTTATTTGTATTTGTGAACCTGTCATGTGATGTTGTCGTTTTGGTGTTGTGTTTGACGTTGCCATAAAAGCGGGAGGTTTGGCATGCCACAAAACCAGGTTCAACCCACCATTTTTTTCTTAAAATGTCCTGTACCAAGTCAGGAAAATGGCCATTGTTATATTATAGTTCGTTTCTGTGTGTGTTACATTTTAATGTTGTGTTTTTGTTGTGTTGTTGTTCTCCTCTTATATTTGATGCGTTTCCCTCAGTTTTAGTTTGTAACCCGGATTTGTTTTTATCTCTATCGATTTATGAGTTTCGAACAGCGGTATACTACTGTTGCCTTTATTTTCCCCTCCATCACCATAATACGCTTACATGTATTTATTCAATTATTTATTTTTATTTTTTCTTACTTTTCGATAAATGTATTTACTTTTTACATGAAAGTCATTTATCGGTTTTTTTATAGAATACTAACCGGTACCGATAAATGACTTTCATATTAAAAGTAAATACATTTATCAAAAAGTAAGAAGTTAGCTTAAAATATGCAGAACTAAATTTCAAATATTAGAAAACATTTTTTTATTAAGGTAAATGCAATTAAGATAGTTTAAATACTTTTATAATTATAAATTTGTTATATTTTGCATACAGTGGGGTATGGGGAAATTAAAATTTATTCTAGCTTGATCGGAGTTTGAAAATATCAAGCTAGAATAAATTTTAATTCCCCCATACCCCACTGTATGCAAAATATAACATATTTATAAATATAAAAGTATTTAAACTATCTTAATTGCATTTACCTTAATAAAAAAATGTTTTCTAATATTTGAAATTTAGTTCTGCTTTTTTTAAGCTAACTTCAATAATTATATTTTTTATCAAAAGCGCTGCATAACACAAACGACTTCACCTTATTCCCAAGGATTTGCTTTAAAATAAATGAATATTGAGTCTTATGTAGCCGGAACGTCTGACGTACAAAATTATAAGCCTGATATCTTGAATGAATTTTTGGTAAATAAATACACTTGATATGCTGATGATGTATACCCTCAAAATCGATACAAAAATACAGAAGCAACAGTATTGATTTATAAGGAAATTCTTATAAAACACCACCTGGCGAGTTCTGAATTCTCAATAAGAGTACAAGATGTGTAAGGACGACACGAATGACCATATTGGCTCAATTATTAAGTGAAATTAGTAATTCAAAACAGAACGCGGAAACGATTAGTTGCATTTAAACAGTTTTAAACTCAATATCTGCATGCATAACAAAACAAAGTCCAAACACCTACTAGATTCCAAAAATACAGAATGACGTTCATAAGTAATATTTAAGTACTGAGTGACGGGGACATGTAGTAAAAGAATAATTGCATTCTTTTCAGAAAAATTCAATTTTCCAGCCTGTTTTCAATGAAATTCGTATACATAGATGAGATTATAGAGTCAACTTTGTTAGACAACCAATTTTGATAAACTATTTACTTGTCTGCTTTCTTATAAAAATTGCTCCAGTTAATTTTGAACTTTATTATTTTCAGTTATCAAGAGTTTACTTTAATGATGAATCTACAGAATAATCATTTATGTATAACGTTTTATTTGGTATGGAAAGCCATGCTCTACGGCACTTTATGCATTATATAAACACAAATACGGTTTTTCAATTGGACGAGAGGGTGCGAGTATGTTCTATTGTTCTGTTATTAAAAATATGTGTACTGTTCCACATTTCACCTGTATCTGAATAAATAAACTGATGTTTTTCAGTAGAGCATAGTTTACAGTTGATGACATTCTCTATAATAAACTAGTATTTAGAATATCAAAAGAAACAAAAGGTACCTTTATTTTTCCATTCGAATGGAAAAACTTTTTTCAGTTTCTTCAGAACACTAATACTGCCCTGAAATGAAAGGTGAGATTGTTTGTTCTGTAAATATTAAGACACTTTATGCATTCCTCGAATTAAACATGAGTCAATTTTAAAGTAAAGGGAACTTCTAGAAAATCTAGCAATAATTCATTACAAGAAGAGTTAGATTTACTATGAGCAATAATTTGTTAACTAAAACAAAATTGTAATCAGATGCAGCATTTGAAGACGACGATAATAAGAACAAAGATTAAAATACAAAGGTTAATGTAAACTTAATGAAGACATCATTGAAAGTTGTTCTCATCTCGCATCAAAACTGTATTATACATGTCCTAAAGAAATAAATAAGTAGTCAATATAGACTAAAGAGTAAAAATAAACAAGCATTAATTTGCTTCATATATACCATTGCTATTGGACGTTAGCAAACATCAATCAATAAATCACATGTACCATCCGTCGTGGGAAAAAGATGTTTAATAATTTGATACTACGATTATATTAATGAATATAAGGTATCTTATGGAACAGTTGTATTCAACTTGTACGACTTTGCCCCCAGCAGAGCTATAGAAAAACAGTACATTAACGGGTGTTACACGGACACTTTTTAGATGATACACGGACACTTTTTAGTTGTTACACGGACACTTTTTATGAATAGAATCAGTCATGCATGATCAGTGAGTTAATGGGCACTTTAAATTTCAATTAGATTTGGACTTTTTGTTTCACCGACATATTTCCTGTCTTTTTTATTAAAATATTTACGTTGGCATCAATAACTATATTTTTTCAAACAATTCCAGTATATTACTATTCATATCAGTACACTAAGGGATTGACCATTTAACTTCAAAAGAGGGGTTATGGTTTTTTCCTAAAAAAAAATTCTGATCCCCAATTTTATGAAAAAAAATATATTGTGGTCAAGCAGATGACAAAATAATGTTCTGATTCCTGATTTTCCAAATACCGTATAATAGTGCTAATTTCGAAAAAATATTTGGGTGATAGCTATGGCATGTTATTGGTTGCAAAAATTTGATATTTTTCATTTAAATGCAATATCTTTTATTTAATTGATATATTTCTTCATTTAAATGCAATATTTTTTTATTTGAATGGTATATTTTTTCATTTAAATGGTATATTTTTTTCATTTAAATGGTATATTTTTTTCATTTAAATGCAATATTTTTTATTCAAATGGTATAATTTGTCATTCAAATGCAATATATTTTATTCAATTGGTATAACTTTTCATTTTAATGTAATATTTTTTATTCAATTGGTATAGTAGTTTTTTATTTATATGCAATAATTGCATTATGGGAAATTCTTTGACGTCATAAGGTCAAATTTGCAACAACGTTTGTGATTGGTCGGTAATTGTTTAAATTTCTCCCCTTTCTTTCTAAACATAAGTGACCAAGAATTAAATAACGCGTCAGAATATCGCCTCTCAAACTAAATCTGGCGTTCGTGCGAGTCCTGCACTGGCTGTTAAAATCTTCTGGTTCTAACTATTATTTCTATTGCAAAATTTCGATGGTCAAAACGTTCGGACCACAACTTTTCAAAAACTTTCATTGCATATGGATCTATATGCAAGTATACCGTTTTTTTTTAAATAGATTAGACGGCACCGTTGGTTTTCCCGTTTGAATGGTTTTACACTAGTCATTTTTGGGGGCCCTTTATAGCTTGCTGTTCGGTGTGAGCCAAGGCTCCGTGTTGAAAACCGTACTTTGACCTATAATGGTTTACAAATTATGACTTGGATGGAGAGTTGTCTTGTTGGCACTCATACCACATCTACTTTTATCTATATACAACGTAAACCTGACGTTTCTCAGACTGTTTTCTTTTTTAATAAATCCTTTGCCGCGCGTTGTGTACTGATTGATACTTCAGTCTGGGAGAACAAGATTTATTTCAGTACTAGTTGTAATTAGCTTTGAGCAAACTTCCACTGAGTAATTGAAAATACTCTAATGTCGGTGCTTTGTGTCTATTGTCTTAATGTTAGTTTTTTTTTGTGTGTCTCGTACCGATCTTTTGACTAATTGCAACTGATTAGTGCAGGTTGTTCTTTTATTGTACTGTTACACCACTGTCCCAGGTTAGGGGGAGGATTGGGATCCCGCTAACATGTTTAACCCTGCCACATTCTGTATGTTTGTGCTTGACCCAAGTCAGGAGCCTGTAATTCAGTAGTTGCCGTTTGTTGCTGTGTTATACATATTTGTGTTTCGTTCATTTTTTGTACATTAATTCGGCCGTTAGTTTTCTCGTTTGAATTGTTTTACATTTGTGATTTCGGGGCCTTTTATAGCTGACTATGCGGTGTAGGCTTTGCTTATCGTCGAAAGCCGTACGGTGACTTATAGCTGTTGATTTCTGTGTAATATGGTCTCTTGTGGAGAGTTGTCTCATTTGCAATCATACCACATCTTCGTTTTTATATCAACCCTACCATATTCTTTATTTGCCTGTCCCAGGTCAGGAGCCTGTAATTTAGTGGTTGTCGTTGGTTCATGTCTCGACTCATATTTGATATTTTGTAAATTGTTTGGTTATGTATAATTAGGCCATTACATTTTTCGTTTGAATGTTCACACTTTTCATATCGGGCCTTTTATAGACGACTTAAACTGTATCAGGTTTTTGTCATTGAAGGCCTTACGATTGTCTATAATTGCTAAAATTCACTTCATATTTGAACTCCGATGGATAGTTGCCTTATTAGCAATCATATCCCATTCCATCTCTTCGTTTTTTATATTCTATACCTGACTTCTAAATTCGTGTTTTCCTGAACAAGCATGAAATATTTGTCACTGGGCGTTAAAAATTAGCAACAAACAATCAATCAATTTAAAATTGTGTTAAATAAGTGGAAAACCATTTGATATTTATCTATTTGTTGGGGTGGGGGACAGAAGGATTTCATATATGAATATGGTTGCCTGATAAGAGCTGAAAAATAGGCATGATTAGCGACAGATTAAAATGAATAATAATACCTTCTCTTCCCTTCCCCATCCTTCATCTATAAATTTAAACTGACCACCACGGAATCGCCCAATAGTGTTCAAAGTAGCGTTAAACACCAATCAATCAAAATCCCTTCCCTAGAATATCAAATAATCGTCCCTTAACTGTTATTGTCCGACGGTGTAGTTCTTATATTTATCCAGTTTATCGTCCTACAGGGATGTCTTACTAAGGCTGTAATGCCATAAAAACGTTTATAACACAGCTCACATTCTAATATATCTGCATTCATAAATTTATTAGTCATTTAGACTAAACGACGCCACATGTTTGTTATGTGCCTCTGCCGTCTAAACAACCTATAAAAAAAGAATAGGTGGAAAAGAGCCAGAAGATCTTCCCAATGCAAAAAAAAAACAGAAATGGACTTCTTCTGGCTCACTACCGAAGAACAAAAAAACGCGCCCCATTAAAATGTTTTAAAAACGCCTTGTTCCTATCCTTTTTTCCCAAAAAATTGGCATTGTTAAATATATATACATATATATAATCATCATTACAATGCTATTGTATTTTTATAAGACCTACTTTATTACATGATCTTGGACTAATGACATCTATCCATAAGTCCAAGCATACAGTAAATTATTATAATATGAATATGTTTCTTGTTTGAATAACCACATATGATGCTAAGCATGAGTCACCATTTATCAGGACAGGGATTGGGTTTACATAGAGAGAATAATGTGCAAAAAATAGATAAGGGAAGGGACCAAACCTATAAATAACATAATAAAGAAATGATGAAATGTAAAGAATACGTTGATTGTTTTTTTGTTGCCTTATGTCCAGTGGCAAATATTTCACGCATGTTTAGGACAAATATAATAGAGATCAAAGGATAAAGAAAAGAGTGAAATGGTAAAAACTAAAAGATTTAGAATTATAGAAACGATCTTTGATCTGAACCCCCTCCCCCTCCCCTCACACACACACCATAACCATTACTACCAATACTCGCATATATACATCTCTATACAAATATCTAAATCTGAACCCCCTCCCCCCTAGACACTGAGGTTCTGGATCCGCCCCTGTTAAATGTATCTTATTATATACATTTTGTACTGATCTAGATAATAGCTAAACGTACAATCCTACAATTTGTTGGATACAAATCATGAGAGATTTGTATCTATTTATATTATATACTGTGTCACAAAATAAAGTTACTTGTATACCCCCCTTTCCCAATGCAGTATTGAAAACTCAAAAGTAAATCAATTAAAAGTCCTGAAGAAAAAATATGTTTTGAAATATGCCCTGCATACTTATTTATGCAAACATATAGTAGTTATTGAACTACTGTGGGGCTGGAAAAAAATCTATTTAAGGGATTCGGAGATGGGAACAGTAAAAAAAGCTCAGCAACGAATCCTAAATGTAAAATGATATGCGGTATAAGACATGAGAGCACATATTATAGATAGTCCAAAATATGAAGTTCACGCCTTCATATACAGCGTACGTCCTATGTCATAGGACTATTGTTGTAACATGGGTTAGTAGCTGGTTCGAATTTATCCCGAATTGTCTTTATTAAAGAATTAGTTCCGGAATATCACAGCTCAGGTCTCTTCTTGTGGGTCTCTGTGAGCTGGTTCTGCTGTCGTAATTAGGTGATTTTTTTTCTACATGTAGCAAAAAAGAGGGGACTTAGTCCAAATAATTATAACGTCCTGGAAGGCAACGAAAACAACAACATAAACACCTCGATTACATCAACGGGGAGTGATAAATCAGAGATGATTAATGAAAATGATAAAGGTTTACTTACCATCCTTACAATGAATTGTCGTAGCTTGCGAAGTGAAGCTAAACGAAACATGCTCCAGACAATAATTGAAACATATGAACCTCACATAGTTCATCTGCAAGAAACACATCTTGTCAAAACTATATCAACAGTAGAAATATTAGACCCAGAACAATACGAGATAGTACGTAAAGACCGAATAACTGAA